AAACAACTGAGCCATTCATTTACATGTACTTGTATAACATATGAGAGTATTTATTGATGGTGAGAAATTTTGGAGAAATTGTCTAAATTGATAGGTTGGCCAATTAAATTTTGTAACTCCTAACACGTGTCAGCTAATAATTGACAATAATTTGTGAGTTACAATTTGGAGTATTCTTGTAATTTAACAACTTGACAAATTTAATCCCTCACCAATAAATCCTGCAATACAGTACATGTACATGTATATCCTTATAAGGAAAGAGAGTGTCCCTCCCTCTACAAAAAGTGTGTCTGGTGTATTAGTATACATTGAATCATTGAGTATCTATGACTGGACACATAAGTAGGACTAGGACTAGGGTAGTAGGAGGAGGAACACCTAGTGACAATATTACATAAATACCCAGTGGAAGAGATACAAACTACTACACTACTAGATGAGGGTCCCATTACTGACATTCTTATGATAACACATTATACTATCTACAATACACTGGACTAATGTTTACTGGTATTCCTAATTTAGTGGATTTCATGCATCATCTAACACAATTTGTAAATAATTAAATTCCAGGAAATTATGCTTAGTATAATAAATCCTGGCCCAGAAAGGAAGTTTCTCTCTTCATAATATACACATGAGGTTATTCAATGTTTAGTGTACTTAGTTCCACCAGAAGTAAGGTTGAAAGATGAATGAGGTAATGTATGGTAATAGACCAGACCCTTGCTTTGTAGAGGGAGGGACTGGCTATGTGAGACTAATAAGGAATGAATCTAATCAAGTGGAAATTTGTACTCATTACAAGTCCTTTTATGTAAAGATATTTACTCATTGATATTGTTCTATTAGTATACTCCCACTACTGACTATACATACTGTCAATGAATCAATGAGTATACATGTACATGTATCTATGATTCAGTATCATATCTAACACTGGACAGGAGATGGAAGTGTATAGTGGGCAATTCCCTTAGGGTGTTGTTTTATCTAAAATTAAAATTCGGTAGAAAAAAATATGTCGTAATCATTAATGGCTCTAATTCTTAGTGATAAAATAAAAATATTGTCATTTCTTCAAGTGGGGTCCATGGAACCAATGGAAAGTCTCAAAGCAAAAATAACTCTGAGGCCATTAGCTGTGCATGGCATACTACAGTACACTGTATGTACATGTACAGTACAAGACGTGACAAAAACACTATATCTAAAATTTGGGAAAATTCCTAAACTAACTACATCAATTGAATCATATACATGTACATGTAGATCTACCCACACACATTAACCAACAGTATGCACTATCATGTGTATTGTATCAGTACATTACTAACACAATACGTACAATACATTAATTATATACTCACTGGAGTGTCCCAATAAGCCATTCCTAACAAAAGAGAGCGAAAGAAAATGAGAAAAGAAGAGAATGAGAGGCTTGAGAACGAGTCAGGAAGCTGACAGCACTCTGAAGCAGGATTGATTTGGGCGTGTCCGACAATAATATTTTAGGTGTGGTCCATGTGGACTAGAATCTACCCACGTGAATAAACGTGGGTTGACTGTGCTGGAAGTATTTTAATTTTTAAAGACTGCGCCATGTGACATCATCCTCTGAAAACTTCACAATAATACTCAGTGTCAGTCTCTGATCTATTGGAATGAATCTATTATTCAACAATCATGAACTCTCTATTAGGATCCATTTTACACACGTGGTAGCACATGCATGGGCTAACAGGGCCTAGGCAGGGATTTGTAGGTATGGCTTGGCAAAATTCAGACAGTCACAATCAAGTACATATCAACTAGTTACTGATAATACGAAATGAAATGTTTTATGAGTATGTAGTGGGTCATTTATCAAATTTGCCAATATTAAAGAAGAGAGATCTTCATTTTATCATTTTTATAATTTATACTTATATTGTGTAGAAAGTTTGAGCTGATTTAGAACAAAATGGATTTTTATAGTTGCATTAAATTTGGTTACAAGTCCCTTTACTAGAACAAGACAAATTTTGCCAAAATAATTATAATAGGAGGAAATTTTGCATTTTTATTCAATTTTATGATGCAATATCTATTGCATGGAAAGTTTGAGCTGATTCCAACAAAAATGGATTTTTATAAATTTCTGAAGTTGCTCTAAAATTGGCTAAATACAGTACAGGGTTATGGCCCAATTTTGCAAAATTGAAAGTGAGAGATTTTTCCCTCTAGCTGTTGCACTTTATGATACTTATACATATTCTTATGTTGCGTATAACGTTTGAGCTGATTTTCATCACAATTGGATTTTTTATAATGAATTTTAAATAGAACTCTCAATTTTTATTACAATTTCTGAGGCATGTACATGTACTTATGTTGTGTAGAAGAGTTTGAGTTAATTGATTCAAAATTTTCAAAGTTGCTGGAATTACTACTTTTTTGTTATTGTTTTCCTTTCATTAGTTGGGCGAGATTTTTGTAGAAAACCATGGAATAATTATTAGCATTTGTCCCTTTTGTTTTTTCAAAATTTACTACTTTTAAAATGGCTGTAAGTCAGCAAATTATTGTTGGAATTAAATTTATGTCGGACTTTGTGTTTATCAGTAAAGTATCATTAATCATTTCTTATTATTTATTATAGGTTGTGGACCTGAGGCTGAACTCATCATCTCAAGGACTGATCCCTCATTCTTATACTGAAGATCTATAGACTGGGTTTAGGAACTAAGGACTGTAACACTATAAGACTGGTTTAATTAATTAAAATCATTGTTGACTTGTACTCGCAAGTATGGCCAAAGTGTTTTATTGTCAATTTTTATGATTTAATCTCATTTCTGTTTTTAAGTCATTGCACCTGCTTCTGCATTAATGGCTCTCGCAATAATTCTAATCAAAATTCATAATAATCAATGATAAAAAGACAACATTGTGTATTAAACAAAAAAGCTAAAATTATAAACAATATTTTACGTAATTCTTTATAGTCTTCAGTTAATGTACAACTTCAAACAGCAAACAATTAACCTATAGCAATGACAACATATTTAACAATACTATACTTAGAATACTTCTCAATGTAGTCTTCAATAGCAGAGAATTGTACTTATCCTCTTAGTGTCATTAACCTAACAATGGAATGTAATTCATCATACATAGTTACTGTTAGTATCTATTCTTCTTGTATGTAGTGCTCTTAGCATCACTAGCAGTAGTAACCAGTAGTGATCCCAGGCAGTGTCATGTGGAGGTGGCACTACATTGCTGCCCACACTAGAACAGAGAACAATATAATTATATTGACACATACCTAATGTACTTGAACCTTTAGCAGGAACTTGCTATAACCTTAGGAAAGAGAAGGCTAATACATGACACATACTGTAAGATATGTCCATTTTTAAATATCTGAATGTGTGACTTTGGAGAGGGAAGTTTTAGTAAAATAGGTATTTTGATAAAAGCTATTCACCAAAATAAAACCCACCATTATGAACCATTATGTACACATGTACATGCTCAATGGGACATGGACACAAATTAAAACACACCAAAATATAGCAGTTGAACAAATGCCACAACTTCAAATTACCAGATAGTTTGGATAATTTTAATTGCATTAGGTAGCTATTTAAAAACTGATTTATGAAGCACATACAGACACATCAAATGTCCATTATGTACATGTACATGTATTTACCAGTGAAAGTGTGAGGAGCAGTTAGGACATGTAACCACATCTTCACTAAACCTGAACAACAGATCCCTTGAATGACAAATAGTGCTGGGCGATAGTATCGATATATGCGATGGTCGCGATAGTAATCTACTATCACTATCGTGATAGTTGAATCAACACTATCACGATTGACACGTGGTACATGTACGCATGCGCATTATCAAACACGTGGTTACTTTAATGAGTTAGTTCAGCTGTAAAAATGGAAGATGTTATCATTAGTAGCAGTACTGCTCCAAAAAGAAACAGAAATATTGCCTTTACCTGGTGCTACTAGTGTTGTATGGAAGTATTTTAGTTTTCCTGCTGTTGATGGTAAAATTTCTGAGTGCTTGAATAATCTCCAAAAGGCTCATGCAGAAATTTCAAGATATTAGAGCCTATTAGCTTAGATATATATGATATACAATCCTTTGGC